TCCCAGTTGCCTCTAGAAAGACCCTAGCTCCTTAGGCTGGCAAATAAGATCATCTACAATCTGACCTCATCTACCTTCTTTGTCTTGGTTCTTTGACCCTCTACATTAGCCATAGTGAATAATAGTAACAACAACAACAAAAACAACAGCTTATACTTACACAGAATTGATATGTTCTAGGCAGTGTCCTAATAACTTTACATATATTAGCTCATGTCATTCTTAGTGGAAAAACACTGACAGTCTTTCATTTCTCAGAATGGACTACATCCTCTCTTGCCCTTCAGACCTTTGCACCACAGTTTTCTTGTCCTGGTATCCAGCTGTCCTTCTAGCCACCTGATACCTACTTATTGACCATCACCTTGTGCCAGGCACTGTACTAAGTGAAACATGGTACCTGTCCTCAATGCATAGAGTCTAGTGCCAGAGACAGACACAAGAAGAGTCAATAAAGTAAGGACAGTGACAGAGATGTGCTGAGAACACAGAGAATGAGCCCCTAATGCAGCCTGGGGCCTGCACCACCTGGTCAGCTGAAGTTTTACTCCTCCAGGAAGCCTCTCTGACTTCGTCAAACTGGGTGAGGTGACTCTTCTGTGCTCCTGCAAGTTTCTTCTCTGCCATATCACACACCGATCACCCCATATGGGGTGTGACTACATGGCTGGCCCCTCCTGAGCACAGTGAAGGCAGAAAATAGTCAGACTCATCACTGACCCACACCCAGCGCAGCCTGGACACAAATCCTTAGGATTTGCTGGATGAAAACTCTTGAGGAATAGGGTCACGAAGAGGGGCATCCTTCTCCTGGGTTGTTCCCTGACACTATCCCCAGAACCAAGCCTACCCTTTCCCCATTTTTTTGAGCCTCGCTCAGGCCCCTGAGCCCAGAGGGCACCCCACAGGGGTCAGGTCATACAGATAGGGCTGGTGCTGCTGCTTTCATCCCTAGTTCAGGAGCAGCCTGGTTAGAAAAAGCTACATCAGAATGGGGCCCAGTATGACCCCAGCCAGGTGGGAACTGTCTGCTCCAGGCTTCTGAGGAAGGAGCAGTATCCTGGGCAGCTCTAGATGTGGGGTAAGAGGAAGGGGTTCTGCAGCAGCCCTCAGGGTCCCTGTGTGGTACGGGGTGGGATGGGGATGTTTCTGAGATTTCCTTTGGTTCCTGCATCCTTCTATAGCCTTTGGGCTATGAGATAAGTGAATGCTATGATGGGGTCTTTAGGAATAAATGACTATGGAACAGTGTCAAACTAGAGGTGTTTGAGGCATATTCCAGGACCCTTATGGGGTCTGGTGACAGCTCAGGTTGGCCCCTTGGGTTAAAATAGCTCTTTCTCCCCAGAGCTCTAGAGAGGCAATCATAGGGCCCTCGTAGAGGAGCTGCAAATCTCAGGGCAAAGACCTAAACTGACTTTCAGCCTCAGCCCCATCTCCCAGGCAGAGTGGTGGAAAAGCTCTGGCCCCCTCCCCTCTATGCCTTGCCTCAAAGCCCATCTCTGCAGAGGTGGGGCTGGGGGCAGGGAGCCTTGCGGGCTAATGCTAACGGCTTTGCACAGGGTGGGAATTTCCATTCCTATCTAGGGAGCCATCAACGCTGTGTGCCCTGACCTGGGCCTTTGGCCTCCAAAGGGCAGTGGGAAGGCCGGCCCCAGGGCCAATCCCTGGCCATTAATCCCTCCTGCCAGCCCGAATATCCACCCAGCATGGTCAGACAAAGGACTGCCCAGCCCAGCCACTGTGTTCCTCCCGCCCCAGGGGCTCCACTCAGACACTGGGCCGCCTGGAATCCAGGCCCATGAGAAAGGGGCCGCCTTCACTGGCCGTCTTATGCCCGGATGCTCAGCCGCATCCCGTCCGGCCCAGGGCCTGTGAAAAGAGGGCCCAGCCACGCTGAAAACATGGATTAGCCCTTGGGCTACCCCCTGACACTGGCCTTCTTGGCTCCGGGAAACAGGCCCAATGGAGGGGGTCAGGCAGGCACCGAGAACTGGTAAAGTCTGGGTTCTCACCCCTTTGGCCCAGCTCCCTGCCCCCACCCTCCCTAGGATTAGCACAGCCAACTGTACATTCAGTATCATTTATTGAACATATACTATGTCCCAGGCTCTTACATATGGACTGGAAAATTGAAAGCATAAGAAAATTGTAGTCTGCCATGGGAGATAATAAGAACTCCCCACCCCTCACCCCCTAATCGGGAGGTGTGAGACAGAGGCTGTGGTAGGGGGCTTCGGAGGAAAGGTGGGAAAGATGTTGGCTCTGGATCTGTACCTGAATCTAGCTGCAGAATTATATTGCACCTGGTTGAATTAGTTGAAAATATGCAAGCTTCGAAATAATTTCTCTGGCTCTGCCTTTCACCTTTCCCTCCTGGTTTAATTCTGGAAATGCCAGTTGTATAGTAGAAAAAAAAAATCTCCTATTACCAAGTGCCAGTGTAGGCGAGGCCCTTTCATACATGATCTTTGAATTTCATAACAAAGCCAAGAGAGTTCATTACTGTCTCCATTTGGCAGGTAAGGAAACTGGAGCTAGAATGAGCTAGTGGCCCCAGGTCACACAGCTCTGGGACAGAATCCCCTGCTGCTGCAGTTGCTTGTCTTGCCTCCTCTGGTGAGCTGTTCATTTTGACAGCTCTGTCTTGTATTCACTGTGCTCAGGCAGTAGACTGCATGGTGGAGAGGGTATGAGGTAGGACCTGTTTATGTATAAACCGAGCCGATTCTTCACTGTTGTGGGGTGGAAGATTGTCTCTAGATCTGCAAGTGTCATCTCCTTCCTCTCTGCTTCTACAGCTCCCTCTGCCCACCTCTTTCATGGCTGTAATCGTTTGTATGTCCATCTCTCCATCAGACTGTAAGTCTTTTCATCTCTGTCTTTCCTGGCAAATGGTCTGGCACAAAAGTGCTTGGTGAATGATGTGGGCTACACTAAGGCAGGAGAACTGAAGGAGGGATGGACGTGGAGTCCATGTGGAATTGACAGGACTTGCAGATTGTTTGGTTGTGGGGAGTGATGGGGGAGGGAGGAGGCCAAGATGATGTCCATTTCTCTGATCTGAGTGGTGAGGGGCAAGGAGTCCATTTGCTGGAAAGGGAGCAGGTATGGGGCTGGGGGGGGCATGCTAGGTTGAGGGTGATGTGTAGTGGACACTTGAATATGCTGACTTGGAGGTCAGGAGTGAGGCTAGGCATCAGAACTCTATAGGCTGGAAGAACTCTATAGTAAATTATTTTTACAGTCTTCGCTTTAAAATATGGTATCCTTAGAAGAGTCTGGTGTTGGTGCTCTGAACTCTGGGTTTAATTCCAGCTCCACCATTTACTAGCTGTGTGAAGTCAGGTAAGTCATTTAACTTTCCAAAGCCTTAGTTTCCTTATCTGTAAAACAGGGATAATAATAGTACCTACCTCGGAAGGTATTCACATTTAAATGGATATAAAGTGTTTACCACATACAAAATGCTTAATAGTAATAGTGGCTGGTATATTATCAGCTGAGACTGGAGCTGAGAGAGTGGGGTCCTTGAGCCCCTAGTTCAGATTTTGAAGCCTTAGGCCATAGGCCTACTGTGGCTAGCTTCCGTCATCTGTGTCCAGGGGCACTCCACATCAGGGCCAGACCTAGGGTGAGGCACTTAAGGCACAAAATTTAAGGAGGCCATGGCTCTCAAGTGCCTACCCTTCCCTTGCACCACCCTGAGAGTGAGTGCCCCCTTAAATTTAGGCCTTAGGCACTGCACTTATCTGACCTACTCCTAGCCCTGCTCCCTTGATCTTGCCTGTCCTCAGGACAAGCCTCTTTAAGACAAGGCTCTTTCACCCTTTGGTTCTCTCCAAGCCAGGGCTAGCTCTCCTGACACTTTGGAGAGGTTTCCTGAAATAGGCCCAGTGAGGCATCTCCTCTGGATGGTGGTGGTTGGTGGCCTTTCACAGAGTGAATTTTTAATAAAAAAACTGCTAAGATCCACCACCACGCCAAGCCCCAGTGAAATGTGAGTGTAGCAGTTTCATCAGTAAGCAGCTCTCTCAGACCTCCAGTCTGTGGAAGCCCTTGGGAGGTCTCCCTCTGACCCAGTAACTGCTCCTTGGAACTTTGGGCTATGCGGGCCTATGTTCTGTGCGTCTTCCCAGTGTGAATGTTGTGTGTGCATAAGGGAGCCCCTTTTCTAGAACGGAAGGGAATGGAGAAAAGGCAACTCCAAGTTATGTTTTCGGGGGGCTCTTAATTTAAAGCAGTCTTCTGCCACTTTCTATGATTTTGTTCCTTCAAGGGGTACTTGCAAGTGCCCTAGATGGGACAGGGTCATGGAGAAGTGGGAGAGATGGTGACCCTGAAGCCACCAAATATCCTCCCTTGGGACAAAGCTGGCCTCTTCCCTTCCTCCCACTCTACCCTTCTCCATTGCCTAATGTTTGAGTGTGGGCCTGACACAACCCTGACCAGCACAGTGTTAGGACACTGAAGCCTTGCAAAGCGGCCCTGGGAGGCTCTCATCTCTGCCGCAGCTGGGGTTGGAAGGACAGGGGGGAAGCTAGGAGAGAAGGATGTAGGGGACAGGACACAGCTGGAAGAAGCATAATGGGGAGGGCACCCAGAGAATGAGCTGAATGGGTGGATTTGTGATTGACATTGACCCAAAAGGGAGGAGGTTGAGGGAGGCGTGGAAAGGAAAGAGAGTTGATTGAAGCAGGTGGGATGGGGCCAGGGCCAGGGCCAGACCCAGTGGAGATGGGGAAGGGGTGAGGCTGGGTCTGAGAAAGCCTGACCTAAAGGGAGGAGACCGAAGGAGGGGCATATGTCGGGCGGGGTGCCGGGAGCACGGAAAGGGTATAGGGAAAGCAAATTAGGAGAGAGGTGTTGGTCAGCCGGAAGGTCCGAGCCCTCTGCCCTGGTCAGGGGACAGGGGAGGGGTGGAGAGGAGCTGTGTCCATATAAGGCGGGTCAGCGGCCCCTGCACTCTGAGCAGCGCGGGCAGGGGCTGCCGCCTCCCAATGACTGGGCGCAGCGACATGGAGCCGCCCGCTGCTTTCTCGGGCTTCCCCGCCCTGCCCTCGGTCGTGCCGTC